AACATAATCCTCATCATGATGTTCCCTCATCATTTGTTTTGTTTCCTAGCCTAATTTGGCCACTATCCAACAAAATAATGGTATTAACATGTATGAGTCTTGTGAGTTGTATTTAGTACAAAGGATGAAGCAGTGTTCTAAAAATCGGCCTAGGCAACTGCCTAGGTAGCGCCTAGGTGCTGGGTGATGGGCTTCCATGGTGATTTTGGGCAAAACGTTCGATAAATCGGAAGGGGTCTACGCGGCGCTAGTCGTTCCTCGTCTCTTCGCTCTGCGCCTATGTAAGTGTGTGACAGGGTTAAGTGACTTGCTATGAAGTACCCCGAATGAGGACCTTGACTCGTTCATCTCTGTCACCACGGACGAGGACGTCAACAACATGATGGAGGAGTACAACCACATCGCACAGAACCAAAACTCAAAGTCGGCATGGCTTCGCCTCTTTCCCAGAATTTCTGTGCATGGAAATGGAGAATTACCATGGTAGCTTAGAGGGAGTGATAGAGAAGAAGATAGATAGAGGGTTAAACGGAGAAGTTGAGGTGATTGATAGAGATTAGAGGGAGTTGTGCGGAGGAGAGATGGAGGGTTAAAGGGAGTTGTTTTGATTTGTTGTTTTTCAGAAGAGAAGAAGATAGAGGGTTAAACAGAAAAGTCGAGGTGACTGATAGAGATTAGGCAGCAGGGAAAATCGGGAAAGTGGAAAAAATGCCTAGTTTTGTGTGAAAGTCTACCAGCCTCATAATAAAAAAACATAAAGAATAGTTATCCACTGTCCATTAATAAATATATTATATAAATGATTGAGATAATATTTTAGTATTTGTTATGTTTTAAAACAACACTATATTATGTTCTTATAATATAATATTTTATTATTTTTTCTTTTTAAGATCAGACTATATTATACTCTTGCATCATATATGTATATCTTTTTTCAAAAATAACGTATTACTCAATGTTTATATATCTATTATATAGTAAATTTAACTAATTTATATGATATATATAATTATTTTACTCAAATCCGCTTAGGCCGTCTAGTTGCCTAGGCACTAGGCTCATTTCCGCTGCCCGATTAGCGCCTAGCGCTTTTTAGAACCTTAGGATGAAAGCAATTTTTTTATTTTTTATTTTAAAGAAAAAGGAGATTTAAACTTTAGTCTTTTACTAGACAATCAAAGCATAGAACCAATCCCTATCTAGAGACACTCATTGAGTTTAACCTTTCAGAAAATTGGTTTAGGGCACAAAGTTCGTACCCAAATTTCATTAGGCACAAATAGACCATCGATCTTTTTATTTAATCTCGTTTTAACTCCGATTAATGTTTCTTTTGTGTAAAGGGTTTAAGGAATTTTCGTGCCCTTTTAATTGTGCATGTAGTGTTTTTTGAACTCCTAATTTTTAACTTTGGGATATATTGAGCAAGAAATTGGAGCAGCAAATATAGGGCAAGAAGTTGGATAACAGAAAGGAATAGAAAGAAAGTATCCAATCTACCTAACCCGTCGAACTTTGAATTCAAGTTTAAAGGTAAACTTAATGATTTTTGGTAGATCTTCATCATAGCGATGGCATTTTTCATCAAAGTTGACTATTATTAGTATTAGATCGATGCAGCTAACTTTCAAGCACGCAACATTAACTTGTAATGAACAATACTTGTATTGATGCCATGAGGTTGCACCACTTTGTCTACTCATTGTGAGTAGCGTATTTTTATTGTATAAACCTTATAATCAAAATTGTTTATTTTCTTCACCTTTATTTAAAAATCTTTATAAAATATATAATCATTCACATCAAAGATTGTTTAATCATTCATATGCATTGAACAAATCGATGGTTTTAGTATGATTAGTAATATACGCAATGAACCATTCATGTAGTGAATATGACACTAGTACAAATAACAGTTTGCGCGACGAAGTATAGTTTGTCGCCTAAAGTCAAAAAATGTCGCCTAAAAATTAGCCCGATGAAAACTTCATCATGCGCAAACCGTTGTTCAAAGGTCGTGAAAGCAAGGTTTGCGCGACGACAATACCCACGTCACGCAAAAGGTCTTTGCACGACGGCAATACTTGTGTCGTCCAAAAAGTTTTTGCACGATGACAATACCTGCGTTGCGCAAAAGTTCTTTGCGTGACGACAATACATGCGTCGCTTAAAAGGTCTTTGCGCAACAACAATACCTGCGTCATGCAGAGGTCTTTGCGCGACGACAATCCTTGACCCTATATGAATACAATGAATGAATTCAATCTTCAATTTAAAATATTTACACTAGTAGATACCACAAGATTTTATGTTATACTTAATGAAAGTATAAATAGACTCTAAGTGAAATTAGTTTCAACGATCCCACCGTCAAACTTGTTTGTATATACTTTGAGATCGCAAATGCCAAAAATCACAATAAACAAACATTCAGAGATCAAGTATCGAGATAAAACTATTCGACGGTTAGAAACAAAAAATCATGATTTAATTGTTATTTTAATTCCAATTTTGATGATTTTTTTACAGCTACACTCCTTGACCCTATATGAATACACTGAATGAATTCGATCTTCAATTTAAAATATTTACACTAGTGGATACCACATAATCTTATGTTATACTCAATAAAAGTATAAATAAACTCTAAGTGCTAGTGAATCTATTGTTTTGATGAGATACGCATTCTACGAAACTAGTATCCAATCTACCTAACCCGCTGAAATTTGAATTCAAGTTTAAAGGTGAACTTAATGATTTTTGGTTGATCTTCATCATAGCGATGGCATTTTTCATCAAAGTTGAATGTTATTAGTAATAGATCGATGCAGCTAACTTTCAAGCACGCAACATTAACTTGTAATGAACAATACTTGCATTGATGCCATGAGGTTGCACCACTTTGTCTACTCATTGTGATTAGCGTATTTTTATTATATAAACCTTATAATCAAAATTGTTTATTTTCTTCACCTTCATTTAAAAATCTTTATAAAACATATAAACAAATCGATGATTTTAGTATGATTAATAATATACTCAATGAACCGTCCTTTTTTATTTTTTATTTTTTTTATTCATGTAGTGAATAGGATACTAGTACAAATAATAGTTTGCGCGACGAAACATAGTTTGTCGCGCAAAGTAAAAAAATATCTCCTGAAAATTAGCCTGACGAAAATTTCGTTGCGTGCAAACTGTCGTGCAAAGGTCTTGAAAGTAGGGTTTGCGCGACGACAATACCTGCATCGTGCAAAAGGTTTTTACGCGATGACAATCCTTGACCTTATACGAATACAATGAATGAATTCGATCTTTAATTTAAAATATTTACACTAGTGGATACCACAAGATCTTATGTTATACTTAATGAAAGCATAAATAAACTCTAAGTGTCAGTGAATCTATTGTTTTGATAGGATATGCATTCTACGAAACTACTTTTAACGATCCCACCATCAAACTTGTTTGTATATACTTCGAGATCGCATATGCCAAAAATGGCAATAAACAAACATTTAGAGATCAAGTAACGAGACAAAACTCTTTGACGGTTAGAAACAAAAAATCACGATTTAACGGTTATTTTAACTCTGATTTTGATGATTTCTTTACAGCTACACTCCTTCCCTATATGAATACAATGAATGAATTCGATCTTCAATTTAAAATATTTACACAAGTGGATACCACATAAACTTATGTTATACTCAATGAAAGTATAAATAAACTTTAAGTGTTAGTGAATCTATTGTTTAGATGGGATATGCATTTTATGAAATTAGTTTCAACGATCCAACTGTCAAACTTGTTTGTATATACTTCGAGATCAGATACGCCAAAAAATCGCAAAAAACAAACATTCAAAGATCAAGTAACGGGACAAAACTCTTCGACAGTTGTAAATGAAAAATCACGATTTAACGGTTAGTTTAACTCTGATTTTGATTACTTTTTTATAGCTACACTCTTTGACCCTATATGAATACAATGAACTAATTCGATCATCAATTTAAAATATTTAGACAAGTGGACCGCAAAATCTTATGTTATACTTAATGAAAGTATAAGATAGACTCTAAGTGTTTGTTGAATATATTGTTTTGACAGTGTCACACATACTGTTTGGAGCGAAACATTACCGCGTTTTTTTCCAGAAAATTGTGCAACGGACCAACCACGTCGTGCAAACACCTTTGTGTGATGTATTAGTTGGTACGTCACGCAAAAACCCTTTACATGACGCATTTTGTTCCGTCGCACAAACACCTTTGCATGACCCATCGGGTTGATCCGTCGCACAATTTTCTGGTGCTAAATCAAGGCTTTGACCTGTTTTTTCCCAACCTTGCGCGACAATGGTACACCTTCATTGCACTAAACAGTTTTGCGCAACGGAATGCTTCGTCGCGCAAAATGTCCTTGCGTGACACGTAGTTGTCAACGTTGCACAAAATTTCCTTATGCAACGTAATTTACTCCATCGCGCAAGTTTGTTTTTGTACTAATGGGATGATGTATGGTGGATGAAAGTATTTTTCCATCTTGAATTATATATTCAAGATATACATGCTAGCATTCAGTTTACAACACACAATCATATATCATTATCTATTCTAAAACTAAGGAGAGATTGACTGTTCATTGGGCTACAGTCAAATGTTTGCCCCTCGATTTCATCTTATTTACAAAAAAACCATGAACATTGGGCTGGGTTTGAAGGATATTATTTGAACTGATAAGGGTGATTTTGTCCGGAGGGTTTAGGACGAATTACCCCTTCATTTCATCTTATTTGCAAGAAACCCATTATATGTGGACTAGGTTGGAAGGGCAATTTTGTCCTCTCGGTTTTGAGTGAATTAAGGGGTTGCCGTGTAAGGGTTGGATTTGCTGTCCTTCACTGATGGTTTCGGGGAAATGCAGCTCTCACAGAGAGCGGAAGAAACGGAGAAACAGAGAGACAGACAGAGAGAGAAAGAGAGAGAGAGAGAGAGAGAGATGCCGAGGGGAAGACAGCGCAGGGGAGAGGTATGGCTGATGGATTTCAGAAGTGGGAAAGTCAGTTTTCTCTTCTCGGTTTTGACTGAATTCGAGGGTTGTTCTGTACAGTTTCATTTGCTGTCCTTCAATGAGGGTTTTGGGGGTATGGAGACTCTGACAGAGAGCGGAAGAAAGAGAGAGAGAGAGAGAGAGAGAGAGAGAGAGAGAGAGAGGTCGAGAGACATCTTAAGTTAGGGTTTTGTTCCTTCGTTGCTTTTCTTGATTTCGGCTTTTGCTCTTTTCGTTTTGGCTGTTCTTTCTTCCAATCCTCTGTTTCCTGTGATAACCGTGCTTTCTTTCGCGGAAAGGGTTGCTGATTTTCGTGGTTTAAGGGATTTTCTCTCTTTCACTTTCTCCGTTTTGCTGAAAAACCACCCAACCAATAAACGCTTTCGGTTTGACTCGAAGAAAAATTTTACCCATAAAGGATAGCATTTCTTGGTGAGTTCTTCGGATCTTACATCTGGGGTTTTCTTTTGTTCAAATATGGGGTTTTGTGATCGTGGTTTTCCTTTTCTTTTTTCTTTTAAATTTTTTTTTATTTGAGATTTTGTTTGGGTTCTCTTTTTTCAGATGAGTTTTGCATCCCTGTAAACCTAGATTTGTCGGCGCTATGTGGAAGGTCATAAAATTGGTTTCCAAGGTTTTTTTTCTTCCTGATCTTGCGATTGCTCATGCAAGGGTTTCAAAGTATTTCCCAATCTCTCCTTACATAGGTAACTAAATCTCACTTCTTCTCAAGTACCCAGAAGTCAAATATTTAATTTTTCACTGTACTTAATCTCTTTTAGCAAGCTCCAGTTGTCCTCTGCTTTTCTCACTGTCCAGTGTTCATCAACACCATCATGTCTCTCTCTACCTCTACCTCTCTCTTTCTCTCTCTATATCTCTGATATGTTTATACATGTCGTTGTGTATCTATATATCAGGTTGAAAAAATTGTTAATATGATTAATTTTGTTAGGGAAATTATTTATTTTGGTGATGGATTTGTGGGTTTTAATCGTGTTTTGGATATACTAACAATTTTGTTTTGCAGTAAATTGCAATGGGTTGTCCACGGTTTGCCTGGTAAAACCAAATTTTGTGAGTCTATGATTTTTCAGGAGTTGCAGCGTTGTTAGTAAGGTTTGAGCATTTTCATCACATTAGCTATTCCGTTCATCAGTCCAATATGTTCTTATCCCTTGCACTCCGTTGTTTATGTTTGGAATTTGTGATTAGAAATTGGAGATTTAACTTCTTGATAATTGCATGTGTTCATGCCCCCTCATGATATCATGAGATCTAATGAGATTGTTTGCGATCTGGTTAAATACATAGTAATAAGGACAATAGTTCATATTTTTAAGGAAGGTTAATGGTTCTGGGTTTTTACATTTATTATTAACTATAATTGTTATGGTTGATTATCGTTCTTTTAGTCTCACTGAGTTTCTTTGTTCAATGGTTTGGTCCATCTTATTAAGTTTCTCACCAGAGATCTCTTCTAGCACTGCTCTTCTCTTGGACCAGGTACAACTTCTTTGACTTTCTGTTTGTTTCCGAGAAAATTTAGAGCTCGAAAGTGTGTAGAACTGTAGAAGTAAAAAAAGTCTCAATCTTTCTATTGTCCTGTACAAAAAGAAATTGAATTTTGAATTTGTGTTTTTGGCATACCCTTTACTAGAATTTTGTGATTTGGGAATTGTAGAAGTTGGTGGCGATTCAAAACCCATTAACTTGGATGAGAATTAAGAGTAATTTGGAACCAGACAGCAAGGAATTGCAAGTGGGTAATGATAATGATAATGGTGAGGATAATGATGATGACACAAATCCGCTATTTTGCATATGGTTTTGAAGATTGATTTTTTTTTTTTTTTCATTTTGATTTTTTTTTTTGTATTTTTTAGCAGATGTTGTTTTGGTTTTTAATTCCTTATCATCGCTACTACAAAAAAGGTTAGTTTTGTTTTCTACATTTAAAGAGTGTTTAAAGAAAAGTTGCATGTAATTGATTTTCTGCTATAATGTTTTGAAATTCCTTATTTATATTGTTCTAGATATTCTTGGTTTGCATTTATTTTACGTGATGGTATTAGAAAAAAATAAAGCCGCAATGATGAAAAAATTTGTCTAAGTCAAAACAAGCGATAAAGAATCCTTACACCATTGAGCCATTACTGAAATAAATTTGATACTAATTTTATGTGTGCACAGTTGAATGTGAAACAGTGTAATTAAATGTGAAACAGTATGTTTTCAGTACCTTGGTATATGGTACAAGATTGGGGGTAATGACACCAATAAAAACTGGGGTTGTAATAAGTAACTTTTTCTCCGTTCTTTATTGTAGTACTATAGATTCAAATTTGTCATTGTGCATTTTTTATTTTTCTGCACAGTTGGATGATTAGGTTTTGTGCAAAGTGAATCATTCGAATGCTCAGAATGTATTATATTTGTAAATTCCAGCTAATGCTGCTCTAACATGATACAAGAGACCAACACTTTCATCCATATGTAAGTTCCTCTAATAAGTGCTTTGCACAAATGCTTTACAAATTTCAGCTTTTATCTTCTGATTATTTTATGCAGGGGTTTTTATTACTTTTTCTTTGATTGGAAATTTCGTGGTTTCTTAAGATACAATGATATCAAATTAGATTTTTCTAATTTTCTGATTTTGGTGTTTTGCAGGGAGTGCTGATATACTGATATCTGGGATTTTTTATCTTTGAAATAGCTAAATGCTATTTTTAATGTTTCAGTTCTGGCATGTTTGGTTCTTTGAATTCTGTAGTTTGCTTGCTTCTTCGTTGCTTCGTGATTTTCATTTTTCAGTGTAATTAAATTCTTGAATTTTTCATATTGAACTAATGAAGTTCATTCTGAATTTCCAATTCAACATTATAACATTATAAAATTGTTTTGCAAAGAAATTGTGTGTTCTTCATGTGCATTCTTCATTGTTTGTACTTTGAATTCAAGATAATACAGTATATTTTCAACAGTAACCAATGATATATTCTCAGATAATCGTGGCAGGATGCCCATGATGTGTTATTTAGGGGACTTTGAGTGGAATAATTTTGTGATGGTTATTATTTGAAACATTGATGTTTTTCAGTTATATGACTACCTTTACATCTCTTTCATTTAAATACTTGCTTGGGAGCTTAATCTTTCTTTTGGTATTTGTTATGTTTTCTTTTGTTGGCTGTATTTTGTATCTCATTAACAACAGTAAGCAAGTGAAAGCTATAAGTTATCTATTACCGGTATCCATTTTAAAAAATCATATGTGGTAGATGTTATTATTTGAGATTTCTTATTATTGTAGTGGTGTTGTGTTAACATTTCTTTTGCAATTTGATACTTTTCTATTTACACATTTCTTTACATGCAATTTTATCTGCATATTTGTGATTTCGTAAATTGATAAAATTGATATTTTGATTCTACAACTTTGTAATTGAATGAAAATGGTTTCAGCTCTGCGATTTGCCAGCTTTTAATCCAACAAGAAAGATGAAGGTTCGTGCCTATTGAGTGTGGAGGAGTTAAAGTAGGTGAGTTCGAAAAATGTAAGAATGCAGGAATGTAAGTAAAGATTAATCTTTTTCACATGCACATCATCTTTTGTATATAGATTGTATCAATCAAATCTTTCGTATATAAAGATTTATTCAGCATTTTCTGTCATACAATCTTTTTATATCTTTGAAACAAATTTTTCACACAATTTGTGATCCCGCAGCAACGCGCGGGCAAAACTATCTAGTATATACTAAAACCCGTTGGGGTTGTTTACTGTGGATGACCAGTGTCCAGACGGAACTGCCCTCGCTTCTCTGTTTTCTTTCCGTTTGTGTCCCTGTTTTCCACGAGGCGTGGACTACAGCTTTTCTCTTTTCTGGACTCTTCTTTCCAATTCTATCTCCGTCTCACAAACCTTCTCTCAATCCTGGCCTTGCTCTCCCATCTCGAGTTCTCTCTGTGTCTCGGCTTTTTCCAAAAAATGGTTAAGTCAGTAAAATTTGTTTAGATCCTTTTGTCGGAGGCTGCAGACGACAACGCTCGCTTGCTAAAAAATAGTCTGTTTGGTCTCGATTTGCAGAAAATTTGGAGCGGATCACGTTTCCTGCTGCCGATTTGGTGTGGGCTTTGAATGTTATGTGCTTGGGAGTGTAAATTTGGATTTATAAACGGGTTTTTCATTTAAATTTTTTGGTTGTGATTTTGGGAATTTTGGCCTCAGATTTAATTTGGTTTTCTTTTTGGTTTCAGGAGATCCGGTTTTTCGGGTTTCTGACATTAAGGTGAGGAGTTTTGAAATTCTACGTTTTTTATTCGACTTCCAGCCTGAGATGTAATTTTAAAGCTGAAATTTCCGACTTTTTTTTTTTTTATTAATCTTAAATCAGATTAGTTAATTATAGTTAAATAATTTTTTTTTTCTTTCTGTTATGCAGCTGAAGTAACTAGAGTTGAGAAATAACAATTGGAGCTTAGAGTCTTTGCATATGAAAGTTGAATATGAGCCTTTGAAAGGCTTTGTAAACGTGTTCTCAATTGTAGGGCATTGGATAGCAATTTTGGGTGAGTCTTGATTCCCCAGTGCACATAATTTTGTTTCAGTTTATTTGTCTACTTTTGCATTTCTGTGGAAATTTTTGGAAACCCAAATGATTCAGAATTGAAATTTATGTGTAAATTGATAAGTGTGGGTATGTCTAACAGAGTAAGAGCAGTAATCCAGTTTTGTGATCAGTTCGATTTAGGGGTTTGGATTCAGTAAGGGGTATGGATAGTGTGTGGACAGAGATTAAGCTCTGTGGTGGGCAGAAACTATAGTGCGTCTCCTACGGGGTTGTCTTTTTTGGAATCTCCTTTGGGTCCATCTTTGCTATGCAAAAGATGAGCTGAGTTTGTATGTTTTTGGAAAAGAAAGAAAAATTTGCTTTTCTGTTGTACAAGAAGATTCATAGTGGTTGATCTTTTGTAGCATACTTTTTCAGTTTATTCTTACTCATTTATTTCCTAAATTTTTTACTATGTGACTCTGAGTCTATATTTCAACTTATACTTTATTTACTCTTCTTTTTCAGCGTACTATTTCACACATTTACTCTTCAGTAAACAGGCTAACGAATTTTTGCATACAACATTGCCTCCGATTATCGTTCATTATAAGGTATGCTGTTCTCACATTGTCTTCCGTTCACTTTCATAAAAAAAATTATTGCATTTGAATATTGATTGGCCTTAGTCTTTCTTTCGTCTTAACTATCAATGCACAAACTTATCAATTATTGGCAAACTCACACTCGAATAAACAGTCTTTCATACACTGCAAGACCAGTTTAACCTTTGAGTTACAGCTGCAGTGTTTGTTACCATTGCTCCATTATCAGCTAAAACTTAACCATCTGTTATGTGTATATGTTTGCTCCTTCCTGTAAATATGATTAAAAAAAAAGTGTTAGATTGACACATAGTTGTGTTAAGGAACATTGAACGATTGAGTCAGCTGATTGGGGATTAATGTTTATGTGGAGATTAAGTATGTTTTGTTTATTGTTATTGTTGCTTTTGGTGTGTGTATCACAGGATTATTTTGTGTGTTGAGAGTGAACAATGTACTATTCACAAAGGCAAAACAGGGAACAACAACTACTTCATATGGGAAGAATAGGTTAGTTTAATTGTAATTATTATTTTTTTTATTTGGTTAAATTCGAAGTTGGTTGGCTTGGATCTAATTCAGTCGTTTGCTTGCTTAGGTTGGAGTCACTGGTTTTATTAATGCTGGTGATCGAAATCAATCCAAGTTAATGTGAAAACGTTATCATTATTTTTGTTATGGTGAGAACTAATTTAAATTAAGAAGTTGAATTACTTTTTTATACCTCTTTTCTGGTCTTTTCTGGTCTTTAGAGATTGCTGAATTTCCACATTCATTTTTCATCTTTAGAGATTGTTAGATTTCATATTGTCGAATAGTTTATGGATTTTCATATTAAGCACGTTAATATGTTTTTGCAGTAATTCAATTAGATGTGATATAAGTTGATGTGTTTATACCTTTAAAGATAAATTTTCACATAATTTCTAATCCCGCAGCAACGCCCGGGCAAAACTTTCTAGTATTACCTAAGGCTCAAAACCAAACGTTCAAACAAAGTGCCCCACCGCCAATTTACGTGTGTGTACTTGTACTTGTCAAATTCCAAAATGTTTATGTCTAGCTATATATTTTCTTGTTCAATGTTCACTGCTCAAAACGTCATTTAACAATTATGACTTTATCCTTTTAACCCACGTACGTAGTTATCTATATGTGCCACATGTGTAGGCAAGCATTTTAGTACTGGTTTGATACTGATGTGCTTTTATAAAAAGTGGTATAAAAAGAATCTGAGCTCAAAAAAGTGTTTGATAAATACTTAAAAACAACTTATTTTCACAGTTTTGGGTGGAAAAAAGCTGAAAACATGAAACAGCAAAAATGAGCTTTGAAAAACCAGCTTTATTTCAAAGCTGTTTATTCTCACAGCACATCAGAATCAGTTTTGTTTTCAAAGCACAACAATACCAAACTAGCACCTCTCTCTCCCTACAGCCAAATTTCCAATCAAGGGTATCAAAGTCTAGAGAGTAATGTTATTCATATCATGTTTTTGTACCACATCTTCATACTACCTTAGGTGACATTTGTTGTGGATGGTCATATCATTTGAATTAATCAGATTTTTAAATTTAGTTCTTTATTTAATAAACTAATCATTAAGAAAAACTAGTTAATTAAATGATGATTATGGTATACGAGAACTCCTTCATTTCCTTGGGTTATGCAAATTTTTCAAATGATGTAACTGTCCACATCATATACCACCTAAAGTGGTATAGAAATGTGGTATAAAAACATGGTATGAATAACATTACTCAAGTCTGGATCCTTCAAGACGTTAAGCCTTGCTGTGACAGAAGACAAGTAAACCAAAACCCTAGCTAATGGTAATAGATGAGACTACTTGACTTTCATTTTCGATGTTTGATCATGTCACGTCTCGTCACAACTGCATCTCTGTAAATACATTGGGAATAGCCACACATAAGGAAAACATACTAAGCATAAATTATTCTGCTTTTGCAATTGTATGAGATCGATTGAATTAAACCGATCGAAATGATGTCTATGAAGTTTATTTCAAGCTTCCTCAGCTTCACATTGCTAATGATGGCCATATCGACCCTAGCCCAAACATCAAATGACACAGCAGGTTCTCCGGTGCTCGACACAACCGGACAACCTCTTCAACGTGGGGTTGAGTACTACATCAAGCCTGCCGTTACCGAAAATGGCGGCCGTTTGATCGACCGTAGAAACGGAACATGCCCGTTTTACGTAGGTCAAGAAGACCTCTCAGGTCCCGACGGCTTTCCGGTGACCTTTGCGCCATTCGCAGAAGTTGAAACAGTGGTGAAGGAGGGTAGGGACATAAAAATCACGTTTGCGGTGTGTGCAGTCAACTGCGTGGAAGCGAAGCAAGGAGAAAGGCCAAGAGACCGAAAGGAGACTAATTTTTATTGGAGAAGACGAAAATGAAGGGTATCTGACTGGAAACTACTTTAAGATTATTAGGGAAGGGAATGGTCTCTACAGTCTGTTGTGGTGTCCTTATGAGGCGTGTCCCATTTGCAAATTTAATTGTAGAGCGACGTGGGTTGGTGTTTTGGTTGAGAACGGGAAGAGGTTGCTGGCATTGGATGGTTCTGCCCTTCCTGTTGAGTTTGAAAGGCATAATATTGATTAGGGTTTAGGGTTTCATTGGCATTGGTTCATCATGAATATACAGTATATTATAATAATGGAGCCGATGAGTTCCTTTATTCTTTATTATGGATGAATAAATTCTGGCAACTAATGTGATGGACTTGTGATTAATTGTTTAAATAAAGAAATAAAAAGGGAGACTTTGCCTTCTGTTTTATGTGTTGTTGCAAACTTTTTGGAAAAGTTAGCACTTTTATGTATTTTATTATTATTATTATTATTTTAATATATATATTTTTTTTCACTTAATTGAATAGTATTCGAAGTTTGTAATCCGTTTGTTCTTCTTTTTCTTTTCTGATTTTTTAAACAAAATTGACAAATTATTAATTTAAGAGAGCTTAGAGCACTCCCACCGTTGCAATTTGCTCGGGGGACCGGCTCCAGAACAAAGGCCCGAGGGCCGGTGGAAGGCGTCCAGCGTGACGCAGGCCGGGGGACGGGGGAGGCCCGAGGGCCAGGCCCGTGAGGAATCGACAGGCCTTGAGCCCGGGGTGGGAGTGACGTCATGCTGACGCCAGGGTGGCGTCAGCGTATTATTTTATTTTTTTTGTGTCAGGCGCGTGCACCCCACCCGCGCGTGGGGGCGCGTCCTGACAGTTTAATCAGAAAAAAAAAAAACTTTTGTCTGTTACCGTTGGGAAGC